AAACAATCTTTTTTGATTCTGAGTCCCATTAGCTGGATGTTGATACACATCAAAATCCCAGCGGTAGATTTTCAGTATTTTCATGATAAGTCCATACACAGATTTCAAATGTAAGAAGAATTGCATCAACTCCCAAAAAAAAAAAAATTCCCTAGCTAAGATGCAAAATTCCAAGCAGGATTCACTGAACCGCTGGCTGGCGCTAAACTAATTCCTATCACTAAGCAGCAGTTATAGTGACAACAAAAACGAGACAGACGAAGGATTCGCCGCAAAAGGTGAAGCACGTCCGTCGCCGAATTTGCATTACAAATTCGAGTTTGAAGCAAGATTTATGACACTGCCTTGAAGAAATCTTGCCCCTTGAACACATTCAACGAAAAAAGCTACGATCAGTGTTCAAATGAGCAGCAAACCCGTTCATCTTGAACGTACCATTTATGTTACAGTCGCACTTCACTAAAGGGCATTATCGCTACGAAAAAGCATGGACTCGAATGTTGGTCAGTAACTCTTCTGCGACTCTGTCTTCTAGAAGACAGCTAGCTACAAGGATGTGCAGCAATTATCAGCTGAGTAATGATTCCCACAAAAACAGCGTTGTGCAACAACCAGATCTAGGCCAACACAGCGAACGGCGAACCTACTGACGACAGAGCGAACGCTCCAATCAATCAACCGGCCGATAACCCAAGTGCTCCCAAGAAGTCAATGAAAAAAGTTTGTAAGGTCAAATTTCAAGGACTTTAGGAGATACATGTATCGAGCGGCGCTCAGAAATGAAGTCGTGCTGACCTCGTGGAAGCTACGCCGACGTTTCTCGCGTTCCTCCTTCTGATGCCGAAGCGTTTCCATCAGCTTCTCATTATGTAGTTTCAGCCGCTCTTCCATTTTTGACATATAGTCATTCAGGTGGTCCAGCTGAGAGTCAAGTTTGCGGATCTCTGGAATATAAGAGGCTACAGTAGCGATAAAAAACATGAATAGATCTTATTGGAAATTTTGACATAGAAAGCTATGGAACTAACACCTTTACTTTGAAATATTTCAAATTTTTTGAACTTCTGGATTATTTCCAAATCAAAAGTGCAATCTATCAACGCCAAAATACAAGCATCCAAATGTTTACACAGCACTTGAGCCAAACGCTCTCGAAAACAAACAGTATGTGCCTGCAGACTTCAGCAAAACTGTGTTGCGCAAAACAGAAAAATTGACGGATCGTTATGATAACATCTTCCGAGACTTCAAAAGGACGAAAAAGAAAGAAAAATCTAGCCTATCTAAGCAAAGATGCAAAACAGAACGATTATTTTGAGTATGACCATTATGGCATTGTCTCGAATTACTTTACAAGCAAAAGATGTTGTCTTAATTGGATAATCAACTACAAACGAACGGTAGTGGTGGCTTTACTCGCAAGAGGAACGACGGTGTACAAGCACTCAGAGTAGAACCAGTTACCGCTGCTTGGTATTCCGACACAATGAGGAGTTCACCTACCCTCAGTCTCCTCAGAACAGTTCTCCTGCAGCGCTTCCAGTCCTCGCTGGATGGCAGTGTTTGGCGAACCGTTTCCATTGCTGTTTCCGTTCGCGTTCGTCTCGTTCAGTGGTCGTCCACGCATGCGAACGACAGGCTGCTGCTCCTCCGTGGAGTCCATAATCTGAGACAAGTGGACGGCGCTGCAAAGATTTCGATGAAATGTGCCCGGATCGCGCAAATCACAGGTAAACGCAACGGCACACAAATGCGAGTGCCGCTAGGGCACGATGTATGGGAAGTGAGCGCAGATGAATGGATGCTCGATTAAACGCTCGGCGCTATAACTGAAAGAGTGAACAACGGTCCGCCTTAATAAACGATCGACTTTCGCAACGCAATTGAGCAAATCGCGAAAACATGGGGCGCATTGTTGGCTGAGTTCTGTTTTGAATAGTTCGCTCTGAAAAAAGACGCCCGTGCACAACGCTGAATCGTCGTAATTCGGCCGGCACGAAGCAGCGATTTTGATAAACGACGCTGTCACCAGCGCGGCTAGTCACACTTCCAGATCGCCTACTCCTTTCAGATTCTCAGAAGCGCTAGAGCTAACATAGAGGGGCAATATAGTTTCGAGATGGCTGCAATCTTCCCATTCCATGCAACTTCTAGATGTATTGGCAGCAATGAGCGCAAAAAACATCAGAGTGACGGGCGACCTGATAAATTCTTGGAGAGGAAGGCTAAACCACGCTAAACCCAAATTGCTATTAATAGGAGAGATAATTTCAAGATAAGTCTATCTGATGGGCTCTACTCTTTCGATAGAACATAGCTTACTACCACCTTCATATTTTTTAATCTCATAATGAACCAGATAAAGTATGAACTCTATGAAACAAAAAATTGCTCGAGCGGCAAGTCCAAGTCATGTCACCACAAAAGTGATCTAAGAATGGAGAGATGTTTGTGCGGCAGATATCTCTCGCTGCCCATGCATAAATACAAGCAAGATCGAGAAAAAGCGGGTATGAATGCTTACTACGTAACACCTTAGTACACATGCTATCGCTATCAGCTCTTCGTCAACAGAGATTATAAAAAGTCCACGTCACAAACACACATTCATAAATGCGTAAAACTACATGTTAACTGAACAGGTGTCTATATTCATCACTTATTTAGATGAATATTAGCTGAAGTTGAACCTGTTTAATACTGCCATCTCAGAAAATCGATGATTCGCAAAAAGCGCGAAGCCCTTCTGAAGCTTCTAGTGCACAGGTGAGACGA